CTAGAGCCACGGGCAAGGTCGCTGCATCTTGCCCGCCCGGTATCGAGTCCATCTCCGCGGCCAACATCCCTCCGCCGAAGGAGAGGCAGGACATAGTGGAGCAGAGGTGGAATGGGAGGCACGAGAAATATCAGCGGAAAAAGCGACCGGGTACCCTTTCTGCTGCCAGCTTGAACGTGTCTGCCAGTGCTCTGGGCGACACGATCGCTCTGCTCCAAGACCTCTCTATTTCCCAGACCATAGAGGGGACTGGGACGGGGGAAAGGGATAGAAGGGGGGCATGCGAGCCTCAGAGGCTAGAGGGCGGGGAGGGTCGAGTTGAGTGGGAGGCCCTGCCGACACCCACCTCGTTCCCGCTCCCGGTCCTCTCCCCATGCCCTGCCAGCCCTCCCATCGAGATGCTCGAAGGCAAGGAGGGGCGTGGGAACGAGAAAGGGGAGGCCCAGAGAGTGATTGTAGGAGGGAGCGAGAGGGACGATAGAGTCAGCCATGAGCCTTGAAGAGAACACCACGTTGCCGATCGATCAAGGACGCATGCACCTATTGGCATTTTGTTTGCCAGGCTCCTGTCTTCAATTCCTTTCATATTTGCTTTAAAAGGACCTCACCTCTCTCTCTGCCCCCCCACTCTCCCTCCTCCACCCATCTAACCCTGAACGCGCAGGAGCCCGCGAAAGATTTCGTAGGTCGCGAAGAAGATGGCGTTGGCCGGGACCTTGTGCAGAAGCCGCGGGACCGTGCCCTTGAAGAAGGCGGAAGGCCCCTCCTCCACCCACACCTTGCTCACCGCCGACCAGACGGTGGGGTAGAGGCCCGGCTGGGTCATCACGCGCGTCTTGACCACGTCCATCGGGTTCGAAACCAGGGAGCCTACCCCTCCCGCCAGCGCGCCCATCACCGAGTCCTCCAGAGCCGTCGAGCCCTTTGTGAGGCCCCCCTTTGACTCCCCAGGTCCCAGACGGCGCTCGGCGCGTGTCCGCCGCATGGATTCGTAGGTCAGGAGCGTGACGATGGCGTAGGGCACGTCGCGCAAAATCTGAGAGGCCACCCCGCTGGTCCCAAAGAAGGCGAGCAAGCCGCCCTCCGTCCGGTACATGGTGCGCAAGGCCTGCCCCGTGCTCACGTACATGCCCGCTTGCAGCCGCTGTTTGACCACCTCGTAAGGTACCCGGAAGATGGAGGCGACCGTGTTCCCCACCCCCGCGGAGGCCGCCACCCCCAGCAACGACCAGCCAAGCCCGGGAGGAAGCGCTTGGAGGAGCGCTTTCTTGACAGCTTGGTAGACGCCAAAGTAGACGGAGACGGCAGGGATCGAGCCGACCAGGGTGACGCCCAGACCGGTGTAGAGCGCGGAAACGCCTTTCCTGGAGACCAGGTCCTGCGCCGCCTCCAGCATCCCCAACGACCCTTTGTTCGCCTGTTGGAGGGTCTTCACGGTGTCGAACGGCTGGAGCAAGAGCTTCGCGCAGGCTGCCGCCATGCCGCTCGCACAGCCATTCTTCAGTCCTTCCACTACAGTGGCCCATCCAGCGTTGCTTAGCCCCGAGGCAGCCGCCCCCCCGCCTCCCCCGCCCCGCGCGCGCAGGGCAGCGAGGAATGCGTCCCGCGGCTCTTCTATTCTTTGTCGCCCGGAGGAAATCGTGTCTATCCTTCTTCTTCCAACGCCCTGTCTGCAAGGCTGTTTATGAGACACAGCCCCGAACAAGTCGGTGGTGGATGCCGTGGCCAATGGCAACCGGCAAGCGGACCTCAACGTGGAGCAAGGAGGAACCATCAAAACGTGCCGCTTCGACGACATCGCTGCGGCGCTGCACGCCAGTGTTATCACCGGGAGAAGGATCCTTGACACTAGCATGGCTCTGGGAGGGTTTGAAGAGAGAGAATAGATAAGAGGCGTATCATGCGACAACGTGAGAGTGAGCATGCCAAGGAAAATCAGAGCTCAGCAGAGCGGAGTCCTCACAACACCGCGTGATCCGAAAGCATGCTACTATGCCCGATTCCTGCACCGTGTGGCTTAGACGAGGGCCGTCATGGCTTAGGCGCATTATTTTGTCGCCTATTGGGGCTACAGGGCAGTACACGCTGGGCCGCTTCATTCCAGCATTCTGTCCTCTTAATGGCAGCTTGTGATTTTTAATAAATATGGCCGTCACTACCACCCTGCTGCCTCGTTCTATCTATTGGTTACGACATGACAATATTTCTCAGACTACTTCGACTGCTGTGTCACATACAACGTGAGTCTCAGCCAGGGTGGTCGTCAGTCGTAGCCCCCGACGTGCGCGAGGAGGCATCGATCCACGTCGAGACACTCTGACACTTTCCTGGGCTTTTACTCCTTTCCTCTCAATCAAAAGCTTCGTGTTTCTCCCACCCTCTTACCTATCGACCCGCTCAACTTGAGTCTCTTCGAATGCCTGCCTGGAAACGTGCCTCTCTGTCCCCTTTATCATGCTTTACCTCGCCGCTTCTTCGCCAAGCCCATGCTTCTTTTCAAGCCCGGTTTGTCAGAAACCCCCTTGGAACAGCACGCAATTTGACGACTGTGTATTTATGCCAAGTGATCCGCCGCCAGCCAGTTTCCATAGGGCTCACTATGCCTGAGTGTGATGAGAAAAGTATTGCCGTCCCTTTGTGTGTCGTTCCTCGCAATTTGTCAGCCGGTACAGGGATCAGGAAGCCTACCTCTCCCTCATTCCTTTCCCGATCTCCCTTTTAACAGCATAACACCTGCTTTACGAGGCTTCCCCAGTCTCGTTTTCGTCTCCTGCAATTCGAGGCTCGTCGATCTCATCTATACGAGCAAAGAGCAAGAGGACCATAGACAAAATCGCAGACTCGGATAGGCGCGATACCAGCAGCGGGAAAAATTGGTAGGGAGAGCTTGTCCATCTCGCTGAAGGGTAAGGGGCTATGTGTGAGAGTCTCTGGGTCATCTTCCTCGCGCTTGCTACAGTAGATATAGATAGCTGACTTTCCGTTCCGAAATCGTCTTCCGCGACACGTTGGCTCACGAATCATGTGTTCCTCGAGCGCTGTCCTCGAGGGAATCTTACCCTGCCTCCACTGTACTGTCTCTCAGTCTCACGCATTCCTCTTTTGTGACCTGTGAGCAGTGACTTGGAGAGTGGAAGCTGCACTCAGCGTGCGTCAGACACAGAGATGGATTTACGTCTCCGCCGTAGCGGGCAGGTGGAGGAGGAGACGGAGGCGGGGATGGGTCGGTCCACTCCCCCGCCCTCCTTCTACGCTTCGTACCGCAACTCGGGCGAGGAGGAAGACGACGCACGACCACTCTTGGACCGGAGAAGCAGCAGCACTGCGTACTTCCAGCACCAAAACCTGATGTCCCCGGGCGCTGACCGCGTCTTTGCCTACCAGGCCTCGAGGGCGGGGGACGAAGAGGGAGACCCGCGCCGGAGGGCAGACGATGACAGGAACGGCCTCGATCCTGCAAGCATGCCCTCCCCGTCAGACATCTTGCGCAAGCCCATGCGGTTCGGTGCCGGGGTC